CTCCTTTTCTTCCCTGGTTTTGTCCAGAGGCGTCCCCCTTTCACCTCTCCTCTGCCCCAGTAACACTTGTCAGGCAAGAGAGTCATTAATGTTTAGCTGGGCAGTGATGGCAGTACTGACAGCACTCATCTGTCTAAGAAGACAAGATGAGAGAGAGGGACAGCCCTTCAAAGGATGCCACTTAGAGAGTGAGAGAGAGAAATGATGGGGGGAAAGGAAAGAACCCTTTTTTCCTGCAAAGCTAAAGGTTGCGTCACCAAGGTAGGCTGTAAAATGATGCCATTGTCATCTCCATCCTCCCCCTGCTTTCTCTCTTTCTATCCATCCACCTACACAGCCACCATCTCCTCACCCCTGCACTCCCCTCCAAGTGCTTGTCAGCAGTTTGATTCAGTACCTGTAGGTTAGTTACTCATTGAGCCGAAGAGGGACCAGAGCCAGTGGAGGTGTATGGACGGCTGTCTATGGGCAGCCACTGGTCGATGAAGGCTGCTGTTTTGATTGACAGATCTGCCTGCATCATCCATTCCCTCCTGTAAAGACACAAGACACAAAGCACAGGAAGTGGAGGGAGGTACATAGCTTTGAATATGAATGGTACACTGCAGGGGCGGTTAATAATTGGGAAATGTTGGACTATTAATCTAACAAACAGACTGAAGACGGGTTTAGTTTTTTTGCACTGCTGTAGATATACAGTTAAGCTATTCACAGCAATATCACAACCACCATAACAACTTAGAGTACTTGAATAATGCCCATTACACTGTCATTCATGGTACTGGTATTGAAGAAACTCTGAAAGACTTCTAAGGTAACACTGAGGCTATAACTCAAAACAGAACACGCTTTCTGACATCAGTAATTATTTTCAGTGGTGCAAATTTTTTTATACACATGTTAATCAGCAAATAACTCATCAGGTTTTTATTCTTTAGTTATTGTTTATATGGCCAGTGACATCTAAATATTCAAGAATGTAATTATGCAGTCTTTAAAAAATATCTGTGGAAATGTTTTTAAAGATTTAAAGAACATATAAACAAATATCTATGAGTGCAATGCAGTAAATGAATGTTTCCCTCCATCTTTCCGGATACGTCAGAAGTTAATGGAGAAGGTGCTTTGACTGCCTTGACAAGTTAAGTAGAGGGAATGGGACCATTGTCTTCCAAATCAGCTGTCAGTGTATTTCTGCTGTCAGCAGTTTGACTCACTACCTGTTTGGTTAATCATCGAGCCGCGCCAAGCTGCTGGAGGTGCATGGCCCACCGTCGTGGACCCCCATCATCGTCACAACAGGACAACATCTGATTGACAGATTAGCAAGCACTGGCGCTTTTTCAAAGAAAAACGAGGGAAAACAGGGTGGAGAGTAGAGACTGGGATTGAAGGAGACTCAAAGAGGAAGTGTGATGTAGAGGCAGCGTGTGTTTGTGTGGGTAGGTAGGGTGGAGGAACGAAGGTTAACAGGTCTTCTGTGCTGTACGTGTGTTCAGCAACATAAAGGTGGAAAATGTCCTAGATTAACTGAATGTTTTTGCAGCGGAAAGTGGAATAGACTGGTAAAATGAGAGCATTTACAAAAATGTGCAGATGTGAGTGAAATGTTTATGTACGTATCTGTGTGCTTTTGAGATCAAGATGGGCAGAAAAACAAATCTGGATGACATTTTTTCACCAGTCAAAGTAGAAAATACATCATTTTGTCTTTAGCAATTCTCATAACTGTATGAGACAAGAAATCAAACAGTGTCTTAATTTCCCCCAGTGCTTGCTAGACATGGAAAACTTCCTATGAAAGTGAAATTGCCTCCCCTATTGGACATTAATGCTGCTACAACCAACATTTGTCCCCCACCCACCCTGTTAAGGTTATCTCCACTCTAGTCCTCTCCCCCTGCTCTGATTCCCTCATGCACGCCCACTGAGGCTTGATTTCAAATAGAAAAATTAATGGGAGAATAATAGCTTTGGGCCCTGCTCTTTTCCACACACATAGTTTGGTTGGTCTACAGAGGGACGGAGAGGGGGAGTAAAATATAGATCCATTTGACTCACTTGGCCTGCTTTTCCATTGTGACACAGGCACACACACTAGTGCACAAGTGTATATACACCAAGGACCTTATCCTCCACCTCCCACCCCTATTTACACCTTAGAGGGATTAAATTTCAAATATTAGTACAGTGGCTGTGCAAATTTCAAATAAATAAATGAGGAAGCAATGATTAGCAACTCCCCTGATAATTATATCAATGTGTTTCATATTAATTTCACTTCTAGGAGAATATTTCTGCAGAAACAGTGATTTTAAGAACTTTCCAAGCTTTTTAGACAAGCTCTTAAAATGGGTGCGTGGAATTTATTTTTTCCACACAGTGCTTTTTCAGCTAGAGTCAGAAGCTAACATACAGTGGCTTAAAAAAGAATTTAAAGATCCTTGTGTGAATTTATACATACCAAGAGATATTCTTCCCTAACAAGTTGATGTATTTGATTTACAGGAATAGCATGCTCTTAATGAAAAGATAAACTGTTATTTGTGCAGATGCTAGGAGTCAGGGTTTAGAGGGCACAAAAACAGATGCACACACAGACAAGATGTGCAAGTTTTACTTCAGCTGATACAGGGCCAAGTTGGTTGCAGGCATTATAAAATCAAAGTTAAGACTCACTGCTCTTGGGCTACAAGTGTGTTTGTGTGTGAGTGTGTGTGGCTGGGGTAGGGGGTCGGTTGTTAAGAGTTTAAAAGCGGAAGAGGAGTTGGTGTAGAACCTGTATTGATGTTGGGGAAGCCCACTGGCACTTTCTGTTCAAACATTTGAGAAGACCAACCTGCCGAGCTGCAGAGCCCTGGTGCCAGGATTCCTGCTCTTCCTGTTTCTCCTGGCTTTGAGGAATTTTGCGGTGAACAAACTCCCAGTGCTTCTCGCACGGCCCACACCTCATCACAGATACTTGTCTCAGCAAAAAAAGAGAGATAGACCAAGAGAGAGAACTTTCCAGGCATTTGAGGAGCTCCTACCTCTTGTCACCTTTTCTATGTAACACATAGGTTGTTACCAAACAACTTTTAATATCACAGATACACTCTCCCTGTTTCATGTTAGCTATTCTTCCAATGAAAGCACCAGGTGTTGGAGACAAGTGAGTTGCCCTAATTTATACCAGAGTGACTTTGATACACAACACTTTTTTCTTTTGCACCAAAACTTTTGGCAAAATGTAATGTGTGATGGTTGAAATAAAATAAAACCTAAATCAGGAATTAAAACATCTTTGAACCTGATTCAAAAGGAAATATTTTGACTGCTGCCAAAAAGGAAGCAGAGAGAGAAATCTATGACTGTGAGTGCTCCTGGACCCTGACTCATGTCTCAAATGTGCAATTTCAACAATATTACAAAACACTAACCAAATTTATTATATGTTAATCTGCGACTCTTCAAAAATCTTAGCAATAACCAGTTTAAATAGCTTTTTAGAGTCATTAACCTACCTCATATATATCTCAGCCTTGACCACAGGAGACTTGGGGGGGGGGGAGGAAGTTTAAAATACACTGAAAGAAAACAAAAGGCTGGTGAAAGGGTGTCTGGGGTAGTGATGGTGCGATGCACTTCTAAAACAAGCCACCATCCTCATGCCTCTTGCAGTGCGCCTTTGGGCACAAGTAGCATTAATTGCTGCCTCCACAGAGCCTGCAGACTCCACACACCATCTATTGCTCGCATCAAAGAAACCACACAGTGAACTTTATGAAATTTTTATTCATTGTGTTCACTTCTCTTAAATTTTTCCTTTTCTTTCTTCCTATTCCCCACCTTGGTGTCTGGGGTAGTGATGGTGCGATGCACTTCTAAAACAAGCCACCATCCTCATGCCTCTTGCAGTGCGCCTTTGGGCACAAGTAGCATTAATTGCTGCCTCCACAGAGCCTGCAGACTCCACACACCATCTATTGCTCGCATCAAAGAAACCACACAGTGAACTTTATGAAATTTTTATTCATTGTGTTCACTTCTCTTAAATTTTTCCTTTTCTTTCTTCCTATTCCCCCCCTTGGCCCCCCTTTCCCTTTTTTTTTTTTTTTTAGCTCCGCCACCAAACAGACAAGAAAGACTTCTGCCATGTTTTTCGGCTCAACTTCCTTCCTGCCCAGAAGCACTGGAGTATCTCGTTAGTTCTCTCACAGCTAACATCTCCACTTCATCTGCCAGGAGCAAAAATCTGATCAAGGGGGAAATAAAGAGAAGAAAGGGGGACGATGTAAAGAAGTGTGTTGGGTGACATTCTCTACAGAGCTAGGTGAGAAACAGCAGTATCATTTAGCTACAGTAATTACAGATACAAGCAGCACACAAAGGAGATAACAGAGGATGTTCTCTCCCTGTGGACAAAGCACACCGAAGGGCCTAAGTTTCATCATAAACCTAGCAGAAATACAAGCACATATGAAAACACATTGCAAGATCATTGTTGATGTGACATAGCACTGCCTCGATTTCAAACACAAGCAAAGGTTTGTACAAAGGACGCTGTATTTACTTCTTTTCATTAACACACACCTTTTGCTCTCTGCCTGATTACGACAACAGAGCGAATCCAGAGTTTCAACCAATGCACCCTGCGCGTTACCTTCCTTTTAACTGCTCTTACATACACGCGCACACACAGTGATCATCCATCAAAACAGTGAGTGTTGTTTATTCCCCCACACGTCTCATACACAGGTATAAATCACTATGCCTGATTTCGGGGGCCAGGGTTTAAATAATTAAAGAGCTTTAATTTATCAAGATTTAGCACTCCGTGACAGTAGGGCTGACAAAAGCGAATGTGAGATATATTGAGAAAGAAAAAGAGTCATTAGACATGAGAAACATATACAAAATTATTACACATTTTACTGGAGAGAAAAACAAATACCTAGGCCTCAGAGGCACCAAAAACTACATGAATGAAGGCATTAAGGTTCTGCAATAGAGCTACTTGATCTGGGTGTATGTCGTTTTATTTACCTGTTAGGAAAAGACAAATGCAGTGGAACTGTGTGAGGATTTGTACTACTGTATATGGCTGATCTATGACAATTACAAGTAAATGGAAAACAACACTGATGTAAAATAATGGATACACTTTACAATTTAAGAATTAAAACAAAAATATCCAGCAAAAATGAAAGTCGGCAAAGTCAAATTGAATTTTCTTTTCTTCTTACTTTTTCTTAATTTACTTCACATGCTGTCCGTTTTTGGAAGCATACAAATAACTTTTACAGAACTCTTTGCAGTGGTAATAAGAAATATGAGAGCCAGTAAAACAAACTGGAGTGTTTGTGTGAAGAAGTAACCAATACACCTGGCAGGAAAAGAGACACACAATAGTAATGTACATTTAAGTCATAACACATCAACTGTCTAAAAGTCAAGTTATGATTATTCTGCTAAAACCTATAACATACTACCCCACCAAAATCTTAGTTTCTTCAGATCACTTGACAATTTATGCGGTGTATATGAACAAAACCCAACGAAAAACTACGCAGGGGAGCTACACAGTGAGTGAAGCACATTTATAGAACTAAATTTGTGTTGAATTATGCCTTGCAACAGAGCCAGGAGCCCAAATGAGGTCCAGCAGCTGTCGTGGATGGTCAGAGAATGGTGGAGCGCTACTGCCCTCATATGGTCATACACACACACACACACACACACACACACACACACACACACAATTACAGAACTGACCAATTATGACACACCGATGGTCTCCTACTTGCATCTTTTGGTTCAGTGGATGAACTATTAGCCCTAAGAGTTTTGGAAGTCAGAAACAAGATCTACCAGCAGGCACAAAGACATAAGGGAGAAACATTACAACAAAGCCAACAGCCATCTCTGGCTTTGTTTGACCCTCATATTATTTATTCTTTCCAGTAGATCTCTGAAAACAGAATAAACAGCCCCTCGCCACACACACACACACACACACACACACACACACACACACACACCTCACCCAGAAAGCTCTGGAAAAGACAGAGCTTCCATTTGTTAATGACTCAGAAACAAAAAACAAAATTCCTTCTTTTTTAGGCATGAACACGCATCGTTCCTCTTGAGTGGATAAACATATATTATTGTTTACATTACTTGACTGAGACTTCACTAGGTGAAGTTTATTGTTTGCTGGCAATAGTTAGCCACCTAGTGGTCAAACCCTCTTATAACATCAAGTATTGACAACAGAGAAGTTCACTTACAAAGTTTTTGGCTGTATGACACCATGTCATTAATGAACAAACAGCTTAACAAACATAGCCTAGTAGATATTCAACAAACTAGCAACTCTACAAATTCAACTGGGGGAAGATAAGAAATTATCACACCAGAAACACAGTATCACTCCCAACGCAAACAATATATGTTTAACCGTATTGTTATTAATTTTCGAATTCATAACCTAAATATTCATAGTTACAATACCAATTCCTTGTGAAACTGATTACCCATAGTAATACAGTATCAGCATCCTCAGTGATAGATGAATTATACTGTGTGTTATTCTGTCTTCTAGAGACTTCACATCACCATCTCCCCCTCACGTCACTGGATTTCCCCTCTGACCAATAGTTCTTCAAACTTCAGTTGTCCACAAGGGAGCGCTGTAGAGCCTCCTGAATCATTGTGTTCTCATCCGTAAAGAAGTCCTACAGAGATATGGGTGTGAGGAGAATTAAACTCAGTAAGTTAACTGATCACTAACAGAAAAAAAGCTCATGACAGTGTAAAGGTTTAACTTACAACAAAGGTATCATAAGCGAATCCGTGTCTGAGCTTCAGGTGCTGGAAAAAGTCAGTACTCCTGTAGTTAGGGTCCCCCCAAGGCATCGCGGCACAGATGGGGCATACCTAAAAAGAAACAAAGTGAGTGCAGTAAAACATGAGAAACCTTTTAACAATGGTTAAGTCAAAAACTGTGTAGAGAACAAGTGACAGAATCTCATTGTAAGGTAGATTTCCTACCACTTGACGTGCATCTCGAGCATGCTGGGAAGTACAGTGTTCAACCAGGCCGTCCTGATCGAGGTTCAGGCAGTTGCAGTATGGACAAGTGAAGGTGTAGCGATTTGGCACTGGACTGTAGGAAGGAGACCAAAAACAATGCCAGTTTTTGCATTCATTCAACCAGCTATGTGAAATTAACTATAATGGCCACAATGTAATGTCCACATTAACTTGTTTGTAATTGTCACCAAGTGAAAACAAAACGACAATTTGGACAAGTTTGGACAGAACACATGCCACTTTTAATCAACTCAAAAAGGTTATTTTAGGGTCTGAATTAAGTTAAATGTTAAAATACTCATCTGTTATTACGCACTGGCCTATGTACTGCAGTACTATCTACTTATGCATTCACCCTGCAGGTTGACCGTTTTGTTTACAAAGCGATGTGGGATATGGTAATAAAACTGGGAAATCAAACCTTATGACAACACATGCAGATGGTTTAAATGGAGCGTATAAAGTTGTTGCTGTTCAACAACTGGTTGCTGATGCTTGTGTTTCCTTGGCACCATCAAACTGGGTTGTAAAGAGGCTTCCAATGGAGCCTTATTGACCACATTTGCTAAAGTAATGATGACAACAACAACAATGTATCGTTCTTTCTAGATGAAAACTATGACAGCAAGCCCCCAGTGTGGGCATGTTGTTTAAAGGAATAGTGAGACATGAAATATATTCCAGGAAGCCCAGTGTGTGTGTTTGAGGGCTTATCAGATGCCAAAATGCTACCAGCACTTTATAATGTTGCAGGATTTTACAAATCACATATTCATAACAGTTTGGTCAACATCAGGTAAAAACATATGTAATAATTCCTGCAGATATTTATAACCATAGCATTATTTTAATATTGGAAAATGTTTTCTACAGTTACAGTTCTACATCATTCTGTTTTTCACCTGGTCGATACATACTACAGTATGTATAGTTACACCTGTGTTGCATACAGGTGTGTGAGCAAGTTCGTCCTCATGTATGCTCATAAGACAAACAAACACAAAGTAAAACTGCACTATAGTGCTACTACAGGTCAAAACCTCCAGAGGATACCCTTAACAACTCACCTCTTTCACATGAACACACTTTTAGATGGACAGGAGTTAACAGCGTGACTTGATCACCAGCCTTGTGATGCCGGTTCTCCAGTATTGCAAGTAAGTCAAAGTTAAACTTGCTTTGTGATATTTAATTGTTAGCTAGCATTATTTAATAAAGTTAGCTAGGTAGCCAGCTTAAAATTATCAATATGTTCTTGTTTAGAGCTGCATAATCCTGCAGCATAAAATGATAAACATTTTCAAAGCATGTTACCAGCCAAGAGTTACTAATATCTGTGACTGATGAATCAGTTTATGTGAAGTGCTTTGTTGTCTGATTGCATTTCAATAGTCATTTTTTCTTTATCTTTATGCCACTATAGTGTAAAACACTGAAAGTTCATTATGTAGGGAATAATGATTGAGTGTCATGTTTGTCCACTATCCTCTGTTTTACCTGATGATGGCAGGCTGGTTCTGGGCAGTGGTTCTCACTCCCTCCTCAATGTAGTCCTGGTATTTTGAACAGGCAGCCGTGTGGCTTCTCATCTGGGAAAGGCAAACCTAAAAAAAAAAAAAAAATTACACAACACATATCGGTAATTACCACTGTATGATCAGCATCATATAATTGTTCTCATGTTTGCAAACTCCGCTAGTGTCTGAATAAAAAAAAAATATGTTTAGACTTAATACAAGATGAAATATCTGCATATGTAGTTATGATTCAGCCTCAAAGGTTGCCTTGAGCATGGTAGATGAAACTATTGCACATTTCCAAACCCAGTCCACAACAAACCAGATAGTCATTAAATTATCTTATGTTAGCATTCACACTATTATTAAATATACCTGGGCTCCACATCCCTTACAGGCTGCCACAGATGACTGAATGAGGGCCTCTAGGTCAACAGCTTTAGTCCAGTGACCCAGTGCAGCTCGACATACAGCACAAACAGGTTTCTGTGGACGCAAACATTCCTGCAGACAACTTTGGCAGAACCTGAAGGAATGTGTTGAGGAACAAGATGAAGGAAACAAGTCATTCAGTGTGTTCATATGCACATTAGGGTTCCAGCTTTCAGCCTCATCTTGGTTTTGATCATATTCAGGATATGGTGTTTACATGAGAAACTTGTTTAATCATCTCCCTGTAAACATGAATTATAATACTGTCTAGGATTGTGATAATCTGTGTGCAGTTGTGTCTTAATTCCTCACCATCATCTCAGCCACTATGTTTTGTACCAAAAAAAGAATGTTCAGAAACCTGGATAAGGTGTTTACATACCTCAGCGTATTTGCCTCTACTGGGTCAGTGGGTGTATTCCAGAAAGCCAGTTTAGTGAAAAGTGTGAATTTGTTAACTGTAACTGAGTTTTCAGTTGCAGAAACTGACATCACTTCACTCACTTAGTTACTATGATAAACTTTAAGTTTCTCTCTGTTTTTATTAGCTGTACACATAATCACATAGAATTTTGTTGACATATGTAGTTCACAGAGGTGATTCCCCCCCCCCAAAAATCATATTTTGTGTGCATTTTATGGTCAAATTTAGCTAGTTTCTGTCAGTTTGGAACTTAACAAGATATTTCGGAGTTGCAGACTTTAACCATGATAAACAGCAGTGCTATGGTTCTGACACACTACTCCTGACAAGTCACACACACCAGCGAGCCACTGGTACAGCGACTCTAGCTCAGCTACAACACATGTATATACACACAGTAACACTGTAAGAGACATAAACATGCTTGTAGTGCCTGTCAGGCCTCCTATGCGTTGCTCCGTTACTCTTTTGTTGGGATAGCAGAATAAAGGTGTGTAGCTCTGGGTGGGTGGGCATGTACACTTAAACAGAATGTTATTTAGGCTACTATGTTTAAAATTACTACATGAAATACAGTGATTAAAGAGTGTTGATGAAGATTTTATAGTGTAAAATAGAAATCTTAAGTTTATACTCTCCCCCTCCTTGAACCGCCACCTTATTGTGGTGGAGGGGTTTGAGTACCCGAGTGATCCTAGGAGCTATGTTGTCGGGGGCTATATGTCCCTGGTAGGGTCTCCCAAGGCAAACAGGTCCTGGGTGACGGGTCAGACTAAAAGCGGTTCAAAAGCCCCTTATGATCAGACTAAGATCAAGTCCCGTGACGTCGCCCGGCATGGCGCAGCCAGGGCCCCACCCTGGAGCCAGGCCCGGGGTTGGGGCTCGAATGCGAGCGCCTGGTGGCCGGGCCTCCCCCCACGGGGCCCGGCCGGGCTTAGCCCGAACGAGTGACGTGGGGACGTCCTCCTGTGGGCTCACCACCTGCAGGAGGATCCGTAAGGGGCCGGTGCATAGTGGATTGGGCAGCAGTCGAAGGCAGGGGCCCCGACAGCCCGATCTCTGGACACGGAGACTAGCCCTGGGGACATGGAATG